ACTATGTTAAACCATATTTCTGTACAAAGGGAGATAACTCATTTTTTAAAAGACATTCTTTGTTAAATTATTTGAAGAATTTTTTGGCAGGTTTGTTTGTTATTTAGTATAAACTAATTTTCCAAATGCTATATATATATATAAAAAAAATATTATGAAGAGAAATCCTTTAATTAGATAATAATCTATTTTTATTAATGTATATATTTCAAAACATTACATTGTGTAGATAAAAGTTGTTGACATTTTATAGATAAGTTACAAATCTATATTAGTTTGTGACAAATGAAAGAAAAAATATTTGGAATTATTAATTATATTTGATTATAATTTGAAAATAGATATACACTGTATTACATCATATCTAATTTTAGAGAACTAATATTAATCTAATGTTTTTTTCACTCATATAATCAGTTTTCCACACTTTTCTTAGTCATGCTTGAAGATATGACATGATATTTACTTTTTGTTTACACCATGACAAGTTATAGAACAAGTTAGCATTTTGTTCCAGTAAAATGAATTTTTACCCGGTAGGGGACTATGTATTGCCATGCAATACTCTCAGAATGCTTGTTTTTATTGATTTTTGTACTGGCCTCATAATTGAGTACTTTTTATGCCCCAGGATGGATTGTTAGACAAAAAAGGGAAGAAATTTAAATGTAAATAAGCAAAATTTTTTGTCGTATCAAATTTTGTAAGAATATTATACAACAGCATTAAAATTCTGTCCTTTTGGTCCCGTAGGATGAATAGTGTTACACAAATTGAGAGCTTTAAAAGTCTACGGTTACTAATATTTATGTCGATAAAAAGGGACAATATTTCTTGTTTTTTTTATTGATAATTGTGTACTGGCCTTATAATTGAGTACTATTTATACCTCAGAATGGATTGTTAGACATAAAAGTGAAGAAATTTAAGTTAAAAATAGCAAAATTTGCTATCGCATCTAACAAAGGTGCCAATATTTTCCATTCTGTTAAAAAATTATACAACAACATTAAAATTTGGTGTTAACATACGTTTACTTTATGATATGCTTGGTCTGCACCCAACAAAATATATATATATTTTTATGCCCCACCTATGATAGAAGAGGGGCATAATGTTTTGCGGTCTGTGAGTCCGTCCGTCTGTTTTTTTGGTTCGTCCGTTCGTTCTTCCGTCTATCCGCTTCAGGTTAAAGTTTTTGGTCGAGGTAGTTTTTGATGAAGTTGAAGTCAAATCAACTTGAAACACATGTTCCCTATGATATGATCTTTCTAATTTTGATGCCAAATTAGAGTTTTGACCCCAATTTCACGGTCCACTGAACATAGAAAATAGTTTGAGTGGGGCATCTGTGTACTATATATGGACACATTCTTTTTTTTTTTATGAAGCCATAAAAAGTCCAATTTCAAATTTTCAGTTCTTTGACCACATTCATTCTGTGTTAGAAACCTATGCTGTGTCAAATATTTAATCACAATTCCAATTCAGAATTGTATCAAGCTTGAATGTAGATGATACTTGCCCCAACTGTTCAGGGTTCGACCTCTGTGGTCGTATCAAGCTGCGCACAGCAGATCATTTTATTTTGTGTTGACTTGAGTTATTTGGTAGACCGTTGTGGTAAACTTTTTAAACATTTTTCTCATTTGAAACTACAAGACTTATTTTAACCAGCTTGAGCTGAATGATTCACAGGATATTTAGTATAAGTAAAGTATTTTTTAAATTCTTGTCCCTGTAAAAACAGAGCTGGTATGGCTAAAAGTAGAAAAAATGTGTAAAATGCATTAATAGTCTTATATCTTAGAAATTGCAATAGATACAGAAAGTCTAATAGAGTCAAAAATGCTCAAAATATCAAGATCTAATTTTTAGCACCAAAATTATCAGATGACAGTAATGAATCCTTAGATATTTATTGTCCTTAAATGATGATGTTTGGCTTATTTTCATGTTTTTGCATGCTAACTCAAAAACTACTTTAAATAGAGGTACAAGTTAATAAGACAAAAAAGATCAACAATACAACACATGATACAAGATATTTAAAAATTCCCATATGACCAAAAAGATAGGATGACTCCTGACTGGCCTGGGGCCATTACATTGCAATGTAATGCATTACATTACAATTACTTTGTGATTCTTCTATTACAATTACAATTACATTTTTTCTCACATGTAATGCATTACATTACAATTACTTTGCCTGTGTAATGCATTACATTACACATTATTTTTTCAATATAAAAACTAAAAATATTTAAAAAACAATTTTTTAATAAGAAATTGATAAATATTACCGGGGTATATGTACATATATATACAGTGTTAGTGACATAGACTTCAAATACTTGAAAAATGAATAAATTATCATATAATTTTGTTTCGAACATTGATCACTTAATCATTAAGACATCATAAAGGGATTTTAAAGGGATATAATAAATGTGCCATTAAAGGATTATCTTGTTAAATGCCTGAGGGCTCTGTGAGGACAAATATAAGTTGAGAAGATTTGATTGCAATAAAAACATTTTGATATTAATTAGGTGAAATAACAACCACAGTTTGGTGTAAAAATGTTGATTGACATATTCAATCTTTCATTGAAATACATGTAAGGTGTGTATAGAATTATGAAAATTTCATCTTCATATTTTTTCCATTCATCTATATAGTTTTGTTTAATAATTATTTTTAGAAGATTTTTTTAGGGCAAACTATCTATAATGATTTAATACAGTAATTTACTGTGACAATGATTTATTCAATACTTTCTTTTGTTTTTGTTCATATTTTATTTTTATTTTATTATATTCTTCAATTTTATGTATTTTACCAATTTGTAATGAAGGGTAATGGAGGCATTACATTGATTTTTAACTAAAGTAATCATTACATTACATGTAATTGTAATGCAGAAAATGTGCATTACAAATTACTTTGCATTACATCAAAAAAATGTAATATTACAATGCATTACTATTACAAATTACCATTACCCCAGGCCTGACTCCTGAATGAGTTATTGCACATAAATGATGATTTGTGACAAATTCCTGTGTTTTTGACTTTTATCTCAAAAACTCTATTACAAAGTTGGAAACTGTAAGCAACAAACATAATCAGATATGCAAGACATATTACAAATCCAATACAACTGAAACAATTGGAAGACCCATTAATAAGTTTATACCTGAACCACAATTTATGAACTTATTTTCGTGTCTGTTGTATACTTTTTCAAACAACTTCTCTTCTGAAATTGCTAAACCAATGTCATTCAGATTTTGGGTGAATATCCTGATCAAATGAATTGTAAACTAAGGAGTTATTGCCATTAAATGATGATTGACAAATTTTCCTGTTTTTTACAAATTATCCAGAAAATGTTAATAGATAAATAAATACTTTAAAGGGAAAAATGTTCAGCAAAACATGACCTACACACTTGTTTATATGATCGACCATTAGATGACAGTTTTTAAAGCAATTTCATGTGTTTTCCATTTATCTCAAGAACTTTAACAGATAGATATAACCTGTAGGGAGCAAAATGGTCAGCAATTTAGTATCTAAAAAAACCAAGTGACCAAAACCATTGAATGATTCCTTAAGGATTGTGAAGAAATTTTATGTTTATGCCACATATCTCAAGAAATTTAAAATGTAGATAAAAAACTGTAAACAGCAAAAATGATCTGGAATACATGATATATAAAAAAGCCAAATATCTAAACAATTGGATGAGTATGTATGGGAGTTGTTTCCCTAAAACATTAGTTTACTATTTTTTGTAATTTTGCAAATTATCTTGAAACTATAATAGATAGGTATACATAGAACCCGTAAATATGAAAAAATGATAAGCTTCACAAGTGCTACAACAGTACCAATATGGCTGAAATCATTGCATGACTGAAAGGAGTTATTGCCCTCAAATGATGATGTTTGACTAATATTTCTTTTTTGTATTAAGGACTGGAACAAACTGTTCACTGAAAAAATTATCAGCAATACATTAGATCTGCAAAAGAAAAATAAGTGATTATAAGGAAGCTAAAAATTGTTATTTTACCTCAGTATGTTTTTTCTATATTAAAAGAATGAAATATTTTATTCCACAGACTATTTGCCTGTCAGTAGTTTCAAAGACTATATGCAGGTCAATTGTTTCATAATCATATTTCCAGTACTTTTTCTTACTTATTTTTCATTGGACAACAATGACGTCATTGACTTTTCGTGTTGCTTGAAATTTTGCAAAAAATGGGAACATTAAACTCAGAAGTATTCTGTATGGGTCTGTCGTAATTTCAAATTGATATATTACTTACCAGGAAAAATTTTAAAAGAAAAAGAAAATCTACTCAACATACATGACATATTGATAGAAGTACAACAGAATAAATGTATGGTATGAGTCTGTCATCATCTTCATACTCCGTGATTGCTTTGGTGTACAGTAATAAATTTTAGTTAGCGGTAAATATATTCATGGGAATTTTACACAAGGATTAATTGTTTTGATAATAGTTAATAAAATATTTACAAATACCACACGGGCAAAATAAAACCTTTATAGTTCATCTTCTGCATGTATATATGTGACTAGTTTGTTTTTACCACATAGTGTATGTCATGTATGTAGATAGTTTTAGAAAGTTATTTTGTTCGGTATAATAAAACACTTAATGACTGGTTCCCCTCGAGCAATAGATGGTTTCTCAGGGACAACAAATTTGCTATTACCCTCATAGCCAGTCAATAAGTGTATGATATCAAATGGCATGTATTTACCAGGTTTCTTAGCAGCCACTTGTTTGTTTTGCTGTTGAATTGCACTTTTATTAATATTATTCTCATACACAATTTATTTTTTTATTTAGCTTGATGAGATTTATTACACTGAGCTAGAAAGAAGGATATGATACCATGAAATTAATGTTGATCAATAAAATGCATACTTTCAAAAACCTTATATTAAATTTCAGACGAAAGCCAGGATTTTGATTCAACAGATTCTGCAAATGACATATTGAAGGATTGTGAACCCAACAAAGATGACATATTTGTCGTATCAAATTATCCAAGAATAGGTAATGATAAATTTTGGATAATATTATATCATTACAGACACAGAACGTTATATTGATCATTTATGACAGAAAGGTTAGAAATTAAGTCACATGGAGAAATGAGGTGTCTTCTCAATTTCTTATGTTTTCATTCACCTTGATTTCAAAACTGCCATTACTAGATATTTCAGATTAGAGGATTTGAAAGAAATTCAATGATTGCAAATCTGAATATCATATGCCCATTAACAGACATCAGTTTTGATGACCTCTATATGTGATACCATTGTGAATTAAGTACATCTTCTGTATTCATGTAAATGTTTAGGGTCTGGCCTTGGTAAATTTGACAAAAGTCAAAACGTTTGGATGCTACTGTAGTCAAGCAACAGTGACAAAACAAACTATTTATACTCCACTCAACTTTTGCGTAGGGTATAATGTTTTTGACCCATCTGTCTGTCCATCCGTCAGTCCTGTTCTTGTCATCGCAACTCATCTGAAACCACACAATAGAATTTCATATAACTTTGTTGATAATAAGGACTAATTACCATGTAGATGTGCATATTAACAAGAAATTATGATACAATTTTTTTCTTGGGGTTATGCCCTTTGAACTTAGAATTTTGGCCTAAATGTACTACTGCAACAGTTTGTCATCTCAACTCCTCTGAAACTACACAAAAGAATTTGATGAAATTTATAGATAATTATGACATACTATGTAGATGTGCATATGGACAGGAAATTATTATTCAATTTTTGTCTCGCCTTGACAGAGTCAAAAGGCAAGACTTAGTAATGCTTTTGACAATGGCGGCTGCGGTGTCTCCAACAATTTATTAGTTTGTGATTAGGTCAGGTAATGGGGAACCACTATTGGTAGATCAATGATATTTGTTATGCAGTTGTATTAGCATTGGCACCAAGGGTCCGGAAACGGTCATATTTGCCAGTCATGTCCTAAGATGAAACTATTTGTCCTAAACGAGTAATTGGGATTTAGGACAAATTTTTTTTTTTACAGAAGTAATTTCGGTCATTTCATTGACTCAATGTTTGAAATCGGATTTCTTTATCGCCATTTTGCCCTTGTGATCACTTGTTTATGTTTATAATCCCTTTCCTGTAATAAAACTGCCACTACAGTAGTTTGATAATCCTGAGGGCCCTCCTAATATCTATATCAATGCCTCCGGGAAACATTGGCTAATAATCGCTAATCACTTTTTACCTGTGGTTTTAATTCACACCTGACAGTGATCACAAGCTCAGAATAATATCTTTAAAAACTTTAAAGTTCCCTGACAAGTGTATTCATTATGTATTTACTTTTCATCAAAGACAGTCATCAATTCTGATTTAAAAATTAAATCTAAATTTACGTAGAAAAAAGGATTTTTTCATGAGTAGCACATGTGCTTTATTTATTATGTAATACGCATGCGTGAAATTGTCTTCAGCAAATTTAATATTTAATCGTAAAATGCAAATTGATTTCATGCTAAATTAAACGAGTGCAACTATTATCTGTTATATTCAAACACTTTTAAAGGTAATAAAATAAAAAGCCATAAAAAGCCGGTGATTTCCTGTCAATTTGATAAACAAAACAAATCCCAGAAATGAATCCGGAATTATTCGTACTTTAAAATATTGCAAACTTCCGGTTTTAACTTTTGTCAAATCAAAAGAAACGTAAGCAATGTCTGAGAAATTAACCATTTTGAGTCATTAAAATCATTTCAATTTTAGACTGTTGCCTTCCCTAAACTGTCCTTCAGGGTAATGGTAAAACATTTACTTAGTAAATGCGATGAAACAGCAATACAAGTTCGTCATGTTCGTTGATCCTATGAATATAGTCAAGTTGATATCGACAATTTGAAAAGGGGCACCAACTTTTCAAACATCTCAAAATGACCGAAATTGTCTGGAAAAATTTCCGGATCCTTGATTGGCACATCTCATTTCCATGGAGTTTATTTGGCCCCTCAGTCATGGTCTATTGACTTTGAAACTTCGATTACTTTACATGTATTAGTTTGTGATTAGGTCAGTTTAAGGGGAACCACTTATGGCAGGTCAATGATATTTGGTATGCAGTTGTATGAGCATTGATACATCTTCTTTCCATGGAGATTATTTGGGCCAACCCTTCAGTCATAGTCTATTGACCTTGACACTTTTGCTTACTTAACAATTTCTAGTTTGTTATTAGGTCAGTTTAAGGGGAACTACATCTGGTAGGTCAATGATATTTGGTATGCAGCTGCATAAGCCTTTGCTCATCTCAAGTCCATGAAGATTATTTGGCTCTGCCCCCACAGTTATACTCTATTGACTTTGAATGTATTGCGTAGTTTACATGTTAAAGTTTGTGATTAGATCTGTTTAAGAGGAACCACTAATAATAAGTCAATGATAGTATTAGCATTTGCAAGTCTTCTTTTCCATGATGATTATTTGGCTCCATCCCTTATCATGGTACATTGACTTTCAAACTTTTACATTGTTTACAAGTTAAAGTTTGTGTTTAGGTTAGTGTTAAGGGAACCACTTATTATAAGGCAATGGTATTTGGTATGCAGTTTTATAAACATTGACAATTCTCATATCCATGGAGGTTATTTGGTCCTGCACCTTTAGTCATGGTGTAATGATTTTAAATGTTTTGCATAGCTTATATGTTTACATATTGCCATTTGAATTTAATATTTGCATTATACTATAAAAAAGGGGAGACATATCTCTGTGTCAACAGTTTATTTTTCTAGGAGTCATGCCACTTTGAACTTTTATACTACTGCAACAGTTTGTCATCACAACTCTAAAACCACACAACAGAATATCATTAAACTTTGTAGCTACAGGGTAATTAGGAAAATAATATGTAGATGTGCATTTCAACAGGAAATCATGATTCATTTTTTTCTGGGAATTTTGGCCTAAATATACTACGTACTGGAACAGTTTGTCATCTCAACTTCTCTGAAATAACATGACAGAAATTCATGAAACTTTGTTGTAAATGAGGATGTAATATGGAAATGTGCTTTTCAAAAGATATTTTTATCAGTTGTCACCTTTGTAGGAGTAATGAGTAATTGAACTTAGGTGTTTTGTGAGATTTGGTTTGCCCAGTGACAATGTGGGGCCATGGGGTATGAGATCATGCTCATAAAGGTTCTTTAATTGTTTAATTATTTCATTGCAGACGGTAGAAGATCTGGATAGTTTATATCTTGTTTACCTCCTTTCTAAAGTTTATAAGTTTATGTTTAGTTTTTGTGATTAATGATAAGTCTTTCCTTAGGTACTATAAAATAAGGGACTGTAGTAAATACAGAAAAACATATTGTGTGATGTACATGTTTGTGCTGTTAGGTTCAAATGAATGAGTAGGTGAACATTTAGTTTTCATACATGTGAACCTCCCGATGGGAGTACAATTATCCCGTTTTCAGGGGTCTCCTCCTGTCCTCCCGTTGAAGAGAAAAAAATCCCGTGTATGAAATATTTTATGAATGAAAACTTTCAGCCGCCATATCTGGTGTAACTGACACTACCTGAAGTTAAATTTGACCTGTAAATGAAAGAACATGCATAATTATATGGCTTCACTTGCTAGCTTGGGTGTCAAACATACTGGTTATCAACAATTTTTACCTCAGGCTAACTGCCGTTGTGTAATAAAAACTTTGTGTATTTAATAATAATTGAAATAAATTTTGGGTTACTTCCCTTGTTTTGTGCTGATTAAATTATTTTCCTTTAAATAATCCAAATCGTTAAAAGAATATAAATGAAATATAAATTGAAACAAATAATCATAAAAGGATGATAATGGATTGATTTTAAATATCTTAGGACAAATAAAAAAATAATAATTTGTAATTATTTGAGGGTTCTATACTTCTTTTCAAGGTTCAAATTGCAATTTATATAATAAGTATGACCTCAAATACAAATTTTATTATGCTTCATTTGCTTAAAAGAATAATCTGTTTGCAAATAAAGATAAAACAATAAATGATCTGTTTTGCAATGAATGTTTTATTGAAAAAAGATCAAACAAAAGTTTGAAAGAGAAAAAAAAAAGAATAATCTAAAGATAAAACAAAAAATGATCTGTTTGCAATGAATGTTTTATTGAAAAAAGATCAAACAAAAGTTAAAAATGAAATTAAAAATTCTCCAAAAAAAAAAATGAGAGGTTGAATAAAGATAAAGAAATTTAATAGTACAAGGGTACTATAAACATATTACATTCGGATTGAAAGTTGAAGAAAAAACACTTTAAAAGACAATATTAGTACATCACACGGTTACATTTACGACAAAATTTATGTCGATAAAAAACCTCCTGATCTGAGTCCTAATCTCCTGACCAAAATTTCCCAATCTCCTGATCTGAGTTTCAAAGTCCATCACATGTATGAGTTTTTAAAGACTAAACATGAAAATTTCTGAATGGTGATGTTAGATAATTGATAACTATTCGGATGAAAGTTTAATAGCAATCAAGTTTTGATCCCTTTCATCACAAAAGGCATAATCACTTTACTAATACATTATTGTCATTGTCTTGCATGAAAATAATTTGACCTAATTTGGATCTCATATGATATTTCAGCAAGTTTGTTTATGGCTTTCTTATTCTTTGAGATTTTAGCTTCCAGGAAAGTAAAACTTTCTAGTATTTTGAACTTTGCTACAGTTATCGCCTATTGACGTATTTACAGGCCTTAAACTTTTACAATTTGACTTGGTTACTCTAGTAAATAAAAGCTTATTGCTGATATGTCAGTTTCTAAGTATTAAACAACTAATTTGCTTGAAATGATTAACAAAGTTATTCATTTCAGTACAAGGTCCATGGATACTTGGCGAAGATATGAGTGGATCATATTTCATTCAGGCACTTATACATGTCTTCACAAAATTTGCCTGTGAAAAATCATTTATTGAATTATTAAAAGAGGTAAAGTATTAAATAAACAAATGGTAGAAAACATGTAAAAATAAGACAGTATAATGGAGAAGAAAGAATGTGGTGTACTGACTCATGACATATTATTACAACAGAAACTTGGAAAACTTGTTTTCGGCATGTTCATTCTTAAAAAAGGGGGACTATACCAAATGGAGAATCAAAACACACAAGCTTACTAAATCATGGCAAAAAACAAAAAACGAGGAAAAATACAAAAGACAGTCCACAAAACACCACACAAAAAACCAAAGACTGATGATTTTTTGCCTTTCCGGTATGATAGTAAAATGGATTCCTACAAAACTGTACATGTCCATGATGTTATTGAAATACATCATAGATCAACTACAATATTTGCATTGTCAAAAAAGAGGCAGAAAATAACAAAGGAACAAAAGAGGTAAACTGAATAATATCTCTTAGTGGACTGAATGGCTTCTTTTGTTATAATAACTTTCTTTCTGTTAGTTGGGAACAGCCTCAAATTGTTTCTTTATCATTTCTACTGGACATTGTACCACATTGTCATTCTAAAAGCTACCAAATACATGTAACATTAGAGAAGGAATCAAATAATTCTGTGTATACCACTTGGTTCAACCGTGTTCAAGTTACTCGTTCCAATTGTCAATAGAACAGTCCTATCCTCTTCCTCAATTGTGACAGAATGCAACATATCACTACACGGGATGCAACATATGTAAAAGAAACAACTTACCCTTTTTGTAGAACTTAAGTTCATCCCCGGATTCTGGTGGGATTTGTGTTGCTCAAACTTAGTTTTTAATGGAGTTTTCCTATGGAAGTCCAGTTATTGAATTGGGTTTGTAAGTCTGCATAGGGTGGTTCCAGTTGTTTTCATGCAATAATTAAGAAACCGTTTAAAAAATGAGTTTTCAATTTCAATATTTTGTTACTGATGACAAAATGAAGGTCAAGTTCTATATTAACGATTTGCACTTTCCCACTCAGGAGATAGTTAAGCCTCTGATTTCAGAAAATATGACAATTTTTAGCTCACCTAGCCCATAGGTCTAAGTCAGCTTGTCTCATCATTTGTCGTCTGTCGTCCTCCTCGGAAACTAATTGGTAAATTTTAACCAAACTTGGCCACAATCATCATTGGGGTATCTAGTTTCAAAATGTTTCCTATGACCCTGCTTGCAAACCTACATGGCCACAATGGCTTAAAATAGAACATAGGGGTTTCTTTTTTTTGAAACCGGCTAAGATAGAGAAAATCTGACGGGTGCAGATATGTTTTAAAGAATTTTTGCCTTATATCTTAAAAATTATAATTGATTAAAAAGAAACTTTTAAATAGCAAAATTGATCAGCAAGACAAGATCTACAAATAAGTGAGCACTACTGAAATTGAAATTGTCAAACGACTCCTTATTGGAGTTTTTGCCCTTTCAAGACAATTTTTTGCATTTTTGCCTTGTATCTTAAAAATTATAATAGATAGGTAGAAAATTAAATAATCAAACCTAATCAGCAAGAGAAGATCTACAATTAAGTCATATGGGGATAATCGCCTGACAACTCATTATTAAAGTTTTGCCCTTTAATGACAATTTGTACCATTTTTTTTAGTTTTTGCCTTATATCTGAAAGATTATAATAGATAGATGGAAATTTAGATAAGCAAAAATGATTGGCAAGACAAGATCTACTAGACTTAAAAGGAACTATTTAACATTAAAAACTATTTCATATAAATATGTGCATACATGTTTGAAAGGAGGTACTAGAAACAAATTTTCAAAATTTGACTAAATTAAGGATGATGCATAAGAAAGAATTTGCTCACGTAGTCTTAATCATGAATATGGCAAACATGTTAGTAAGGTGGGCAAAATTTTCGGATTAAGAACACTTATACATTTATCAAGATATCTTAGGTATCATATTTAATTTAGTCAAATTTTGAAAATTTGTTTCTAGTACCTCCTTTCAAACATGTATGCACATATTTATATGAAATAGTTTTTTTTTATGTTAAATAGTTCCTTTAACATGTATATTGCATAGTGATGCAAAACTAATATATTAAGTAATTTTAGACACAGTGGTGTCTGTTAATGGATACTTCTTATGAGAGCCTCAATGTGCAAATAATGAAGATAACAGAAAATCAATTTAGTTTCAAGAAATGAGTATACAGAAAAAGGTTAATATTAACTTAATATCAGAATAAAGTGATAGTTAGTTTTATATCACCAATGTCTTTGACGAGTTAAAAAATTTGCAGGGGCGTAGCTGCCGTTAGGCACTATAGGCAAGTGCCTACACATTATTTTTTCAAAAAAAAAAAAAAGTTGAAAAAATTGACAACGCAATTTGTTTCATTCTAAACTTTTTTTTACTCTTTATGGCCTTAATCATCTTACTTTTAGATTCCTTCCCCATCCCTTTCAAGATGCACGCGAAGTCGTCACAACTCTTTAATCATCCTGTCAAACGACACTGTTTATACATATCTAGTATGTCCTGATTATTGTTGATGATTGAAGGGAGTTTGAGAGAACAATTGATGTGCAGAGTAACTAAGTTAACCATATTTTAACTATAGAGATCGAGTCAGACAATAATTGAATTCAGTTGTGAAAAATGTCAGAACCCAAAGAAAAACCCAAACTAAAAAATAGAACTATAGACGAAATGTTTAAGAAAATAAGACAAAGTGAATCTCCAGAAAGTCAAAAGTGAAACGCCGCCGGTATCAAAACAAATCCCGGAAAGTGACGAAAAGGAAGAAACAGTTGCAATGGATGAGAGCCAGACTGACTTAGGTGAAGCAGGGACAGCTACGTCTGATTTGAAGCCTTCTAGCTCTAGTTCAGATTTCACTCTTAGTCTAATCAACAAATATGAACCTTCATTCCCTGACATTGCTAAATTATCTGATATGGATGACTTAATAAAACAAAAACTGTTGTCTACGAAATGGAATGACCCTCACTTATTTAAATTCCCAAGCAGGTAGGTCCATAAATCAGAAAATATATAATTTGCTAAATTCAATTTGTGTTGAATTTGAGTATGAACAAAATTTGAAACAACCGAATTTGTGTTGGGCATGATATTTTTCTCGGGACGAAAACAATTTTTTCACTTGCCTTCTTGGCAACAGATTTTTTTCTTCAAGAAAATTAACGTATCAATTAAAAACAGAAAAACGTGCACCCAGTCAGCCCCCCCTCCCCCCCCCCCCCCCCCCCCAAAAAAAAAAAAAGAGAAAGAAAATAAAGGCCTTGTTAGATAAGAATAATATTTACCTGCTGCGATTTTTATTTTAAACAGGATTTAAAACATAAATGAAAGGCTTTGTTGGGCAATGCAGATTGTACAATAAAATATCTGGGAAATTTCTGATTGAACTGCGTTAATGACTTAATGCACATATCTGGCTGCACGTATCTACCTTCAATTATGTACCTATATTGTCTATCAGTTGTCAGACATTTTTATTTAAATTTGATTTTCCACTCCGAGTTCTGTTGAGTTGTATTTGGGATATTTGTAGATTTTTGTATTGTTCATTAAGATTTACTTTGATTGTTTCGATTTACAACTTTTACTCAGAAACTAACATTTTGTCATGCAAGAACCTTTTATATCTAATTATGTGTTTTCGTATTGCTGAAGACCGTACCATTACCTGTAATAACGGTAGATGTTATCATCCTCGAGCTTTGGTCTCTGGTGGATATATTTGTCTCATTGGCAACTATCAAACCATACCCGTATGAAAAACATGACACGTACTCCAGCCGGACAGAAGCCATACTGCAGCCGTACTGAGAACCGTACTTATAATATTCATTTGGACTTTTCTTTGAATTGCTTATAATAGATACCCCAGCTGGACTTTCAGCGAAATTAGCCGTAAACCGACTTGAAATATTTAAATTAGCAGGAGTCCGGTGCATAAAGTCCAGCTGGACTTTAATAAAAGTATGTCTGAAAAAAAAACCAACCGGCATTTCTGGCAAAAATATAGACTCTATAAAGTTCAGCTGAACTCTATAAAGTCCAGCTGGACTTCAAAAAGTGCAGTTTGACTTTTAAAGATGATCTCAGCAGGGGTGAATCCAGCTATTTTCAAAAGGGGGGGTTCCTAACTCAGGATAGGGGGAGGGGGTCCAACCATATGTCCCCATTCAAATGCATTGATCGTCAAAATAATTGGGGGTTTCAACCCCTGGAACCCTCCCCCTGGATCCGCCACTGCTCAGTTTTTCTTCAGATGGTTGATTCTTCTGATTTAATTTGCATCATGCATCCCTTGCTATAATCTGAAAATAGAAAAAAAAACAGATGACATTATGCATATATACTGGTTATTTCTGTTTCTTTTTTGTACTGTCTTACTGGCAAAACCAAGAAATGGGGAATTGAGAAGCTAAATGATAACTTCTAAAAATTTGTGGTTATTAAATAGCCTAAATAATTTTAAAGTGGCTAAAAATAAAATAAAGTTGGCTTTGAAAATCACTTAAAGTGTAGAAATCAAAAAACTTTCAAAACAACTCAAATAATAACCATTCCTTACTCATGTTAATACAGAGGGAATAAAAAATATAACAATACATTTTTTTACACAACAATTCAAAACAGGAAGTGACAGTGACATAACAGACAAGATGAAAATTATTGCATGAATCTAATCTAATCTAACTTATCTTTAAACCCCCTTTGTAGAGGAACCATATTTTCATATGTAGAACAGGTGCTCTCTTTGAATGTAAATATTTGATGTAGGTTTTTTATTCTTTTTACTCTTCAAATATAAGAATTAAGCTATTTATGATATTGAAATTATTTTATTAATATGTTGAATAAAAAGAGCATATCAGATAATATCACCAAAATGGTGGAATTCAATTTATTGTACTTACCAGAATACACATACAAACAGCAATCTTCCTAAATTGTCATCGATGCCAGTCAGAAGGATCCATCTTCTCTATTTAATGTGAAAAGAACTACTTCCAAACATTTGCTTTACATCCAATGATATAAAATTCTCATTTTGTTCAAGAAAGAAGACAAATCTTCCTGTTTATTCCAAATTCAAATTGTGTTGTATTGCAATACATGAGGTTGTTTAACATGTTAAGGAGTTGTTTTAAATGTTCCTCTTATGGCTAATTGCATGTGCCTTAATTTTGAATATGTGATATATTAAAAAAAGAAAATCAATTATTAATTTGTTTAATTGTGAAATTTTTAACAAAAGTGATAGTAATTGCAGAAATATGTATTTCGAAATTTTTTCTCCCACATATGGCCTCAATCTCTGTGGAGATAGTACTTCCTGTGACCTGTCCAGACTGAGGTTAATTGAAAACAGATGGCACATTTCTACAAGACTAACTGCTATTAAATCACTGTTATATGGCTCAAGTTTCTAATTGATGTTTAAGAATGAATGATAATTATTAATTTTATGCATTCATCTAATTAAATATAAATATACTAGAAAATGTATAAATTTGACCTGTAACAGATGTTGCTAGTGTTTTTTTTTTATGAAAAAAGTAGAAATGTTAAATAATTGCTGTATATTAAACATATTAACTTGGATATAATTCAAACAAAAGTCACCAAAATTAAATTTTAACTTTCCATCAACACTCTATGTTAAATATTTCTTAATGGATTTGAAAATCTAGGGAAAGTATCACATCTTATAGTTTGAACTAAAAATATATTGCAAAAAAATATTTTATCATTATTATTAATTACTTGCAAACTTTCATTTTTAACTGTTTTACATTTTGAAAGAATTGTTCCTTTCAAAGAACAGAATCTATTGTGGCAAACTTTTTATTTCTGTAAGGGTAGATTTGGCTGATGAAAATTTTCTAAGTCTAAATTCCTGCTCATAAATGAATGTAAAATTTTCTAAGACAAAAATCCTGCTGATCATTCTACAGAAAGGAATAAATTTCCTCAAAGTCCAGCCGTGTTTATTTTCTTGTAAGCATTACAAAAAGTGCGGTTGGACTTTTAAGAAAATACCGGCTGGCAAATAACCCAAGTATAAGAAAAAGTACGTGTACGGCTCATGTCAGACTGGACTTTTCAAAGTCAGAGAGGAATAGGTCTCAAGTCCAGAATGAGTCCAGTTGAACTCCTGTTGAAATTTTCATACGGGTATGATCATCTTTATAACAACTCGTATTTTCAGGGTGTTTGGACAAAAGCAGAGAAAACTTCAAAGTTCCTGGCTTCAAAATCATCCATGGATGCCCTCTTCGGTATCAACTGATGCACTTTACTGTGCACATTGTGTGCTTTTCTCGTCAAAAGACAGTAAAGAAAAGTCGTTCTCAAAAACGCCTGTTTCGGATTGGAAGAATCTTCCCTTAATTGTAAAAAGGCACGAGAGCTCAGCCCAACACCAAGGATGTGTAGTAAGTAGCGGTGAATATCTCGGCATCATGGAAAATAAGTTCCTCAATTGCCAGTATGATATCCACAAGTCATAAAATGAACATCGCAACAAATAGACATGTACTAGAAAAAATAATTGAAGTTATTTTGTTATGTGGAAGGCAGAATATACCTTTGCGGGGTCACGTTGAAGAAAGGAGCAACTTCATTGCAATTTTGCACGAGAAAGCAAAAACAGACAATATATTGTCAGATCATCTAGCATTTAGTGCTGCTTCAAGGGCAAAATATACTTCGCCAGACATTCAAAATGAGTTAGTAGAGTTATGTGGAAGAGAGGTTTTAAATCAAGTTATTGGTGCGTGCAAGTGTGCACCCTGCTTTGCCGTCATTGCCGACGAGTGTACAGACAAGGCAACAAAGAAACAAATGTCATTATGCTTGCGTTTTTTGGATGTCAAAAAAACAACACGGTCATAATAAGAGAGGAATTTGTAGGCTTTCGACATGCCGAGTCTGTCAAGGGGGCTGCCATCTCTGATCTTATTGTTCAATTTCTAGCTGATCTCGAACTTGATATTAACAAAATTCGTGCACAGTGCTATGATGGGGCTGCAAACATGGCAGGCAAGTACAGCGGTGAACAAGCAAGGATCATTCAACTAAATCCAGAAGCAAATTATATCCACTGTTAGGCACATTCCTCGAACCTTGCTCTAATACACAGCAGCAAAGATGTATCTGTACGTAACATGATGTCAACTGTACAAGAAATCGCCTTTTCCTTTGATTATTCTGCAAAACGACTTCAAGCTTTTTCTGAGGAACTATCAGATAATCAAAACGTTAAAGAACAACTGGACAGACGCACAAAGCTACGCACACTTTGCGAAACTAGATGGTCGAGTCGAGCAGACTCCCTGTTTACTTTTCTCAATGCATTTCCTTTTGTTGTGTCATCATTGGAGGTTTTGAAGGATGACAGAGATGATAAAGCAGCACAATATATTAACGCAATTTTGAAATTCGATTTTCTGATAGCACTGGTGGTAGCTGAACATCTCCTGAGTACAACAGGTGCGCTCACAAATTATTTTCAAAAAACTGATATCAACTTGTTAGACGCTGTGCAGGAAGCTCGAATAGTAGTCCAAAGGTTAGATAATGAACGGACTGACCCAAATGTATGGACAGCAATTTTTGAGAAAGCAGTTAAAGTTGGAGAGGAATTCGAGATTCCTCTCAGTATTCCAAGGCGAGCTGGACGTCAGATGCACCGACAGAATCATCCAATTAATGACCCTTCGGAATATTGGAGAGTGTCTCTTTACTTGGTTTTTCTTGATTACCTAGTTACAGTAATAACAAGTCGTGTGATTAAGAACGAAGGTAGATTCTACGCTGAGTACCTTATTCCTTCAAAGCTCCAAACCTTAACCGATCAGACTACCAACTCAATCTTCGAAACCTTCCATATAGATCTTGGGGACAGACAAGCATTTAATGACGAGGTAGCTAGATGGAAAACAAGATGGGACATGGTAGACGGTCAGTGTCTACAGAAACTATTAGAGACACTAAATGCTACGAATAAGGATTTATATCCGAACATTTATTCAATTCTGACAGTTCTTCTTACAATGCCTGTCTCTTCAGCATCTAGTGAGCGCTCATTCAGCGCTATGCCCCGTATTAAAAACTACTTAAGAGCTACTATGGGGAATGAAAGGCTATCAAACTTGTCAATTTTACACATTCACCGAGCAAGAAGTGTGAATATCACAGAAATTATTGACAAATTTTCAGTGAGAAAAAACAGACGCCTTAACTTCGTTTAAACGTTTTGATTTTATCATGGTTTACTCTGAAAATTTAGTGCTTTATTAGTTTGACTTTGATGGTTAATTTTATGTTTAAACTTTTACATTGTCCTTATTTGCATATTATATAAATGTTGAAAACCGTTTCTGGACAGTCATTCATCAGTCTGATGTTATTATTAAATTAATAATTATACTTAGAACTTTTTTCATGTATATTTCATGATAAAATTACCAGTAAATTATATGTTTTGTGTACAACGAAATCGAAAATTTTGCATCTAGAAATGCTGAAACCTTTTCCGTCGGGGGGTTCGCCCCCCTGAATCCCCTACCAGGACCCACTGGTGGCCTTAACCCGCCCCCAGACCCCATGCCGATTTGTGCCTACAGTTCATTTCTAGTCTAGCTAAGCCCCTGATTTGTGCTGATCAATTATCTTTAGAAGAGTTATTCCCCTTGGAAATATTGATTACATGGAAAATTGCATGGTTAGCACTCTAATATGTTCAATTCTTGCCAGAATTTTATGAAACTTATATCATAGGTTTATATCAGCAATGTCTTTGACACTTTCGAAAATAAGTATTGATTTTTTAACGAGTAAAGGCCGTTGGAAATATTAATTATAATGGAAATCGCATTGCATTTGCTCTGAAGCCTTCATTTCTCTAAGATATTGATTAAAAGTTTTAAAGAAAAAAAAAAGAGTTTTTTTTAGTTATTGCCCTTGTACCTTGGATAGATAAAATATGTGCAACACGGGGGACATTGGAACTCTGTTCTTTTATTAATGTGAAATTTGTATTATTTTTAAAAATCAATAGCTTGAGTCCGAAATATTTGAAAATCTAAAACCTAATAAAAACGTTAGAAGAGCTGATCAAAATAAAACCAAACTGAAACTTAGAAGTATGTATGAATTTGTGAGTATAAGTGTTACCTTTCATTCGAAATATTAACTTTACACTTGACCTTTACAGGCAAACCTGTGTCTCGCTCAAGCTGTAGTACCAAAGAAGACAACAGAAGGCGGAAAAAGTGTGATAGAAGAAAAGAAAACTGTTGCACAAATTGCCTTATTGGAATATTGTGAAGGGAAAGACCTTTACTTTTTCCCTGGAATTGACTTAACACCTATTCCAAAAGGCTTTGCGAATAAAGATTTCTCTGAATCAGGGAGACCAGTGTGTTCACCATCAAGTTAATTTCACAATAGAAGGGACTGTTGATGAACTGTAGAATTATAGAAAGCATTTTTCTTTGATAACATTGAGCTTACTTTACCTTATTGAAATTGCTAAACAAATACAGTCGAACTCGGTTGTGTCGAAAAATCGGATGAGTCGAAGTAATTTCTCAGTCCTGGTAAAATTCCCTTTTGATTAATGCATAATTACCTCTGATGAGTCGAACTCGGTTAATTCGAATACTTGGTTAAGTCGAGTAAATTTTTTTAGTCCCGTCGATGTAAAATTAATGTAAATTGACCCCAATGTCTCGAAGTTCGAAAGTAAGAATTTTCGAAAGATGCAGACCTAATGATAAAAATTCAAATCGGATGTAATTCTTATGTAACCTAATCATTTTCAAAAGAGATTAAAGCTGAGTAAACATACTTGTTTGTATAACAGTTAAAATGACATGTTTATGGTGACCGGTAATTAACACCTGTGTTGATCGTCCAAGCGGAACGTTAGTGTGTTGAACATATTCACCTGACATAAAATCGAAACGAATTTTAATGACCCAAACCAAGATTAAATGAATTGTTAGAATTGAAATTCATTAAATACAATAAATAAAAGGATGAAGACAATTATGATAAATTCATAATGATTTAATGTTTATCAGATGACCTCATCAGAGACCGTTCAGAACTTGTTTCATTCCGCAACTGATTTCATAATTTATAGTGACTGACCTTTGTAAATATTTGTTTAACTATTGATTTTATTTTATGCATGATTTCTATCTGACTTGTGTGTTTAATTATTATGAAGGACCAACACATATGGAGATTGAATACACAATCATAAAGTGTCATATCGAAAAAAGGCACACTGTTCAAAATAACTCGTTTACACAAATCTCATACCGTATTTCATGCATTTCAAATTTAAGACGACACACTCGACCTCGGATGAGTCGAACCTCGGATAAGTCGAATACTTTGGTCCAGTCCCTTCGACTTTGACATAACGAGGTTTGACTGTAGTAAAAATATTCAATTCTTTTCAAAATTTGTTTAAATTTGTTTTGCCTGAGATTCCCTTTTTATAAAAAGTATAAGTACTAAATTTTATTTTACACATGTCATCATCTTCAAACATAACATATTGTGGCATAATATCGTATTGAGAAAGGTTGTTAGTATTTCTCAAATCTAAATATTGATCCCAATAAAAGAAGTTTGAAGGAAGTTTTAAAGAAAAAAAGTATTTAGAAAAAAACTATATATGCTGATATTTGACAGTAGATTTTGATAGATTTATGACAAACACTATAATTATCTGAATTCAAGTAGCCATTGGAGTGGGAATGTGGAACCTTTTCTTTTAGTGGTATAATTAAATGTATATAATTTATAACAAATGTCAGAATCAACGTCAGAAACATTATTTATATTTAAAGTATGATATTTATCACAATAATATATACGATCAAAGATTTTAAGATAACATATAATTATATGTATCCTGTCTTTTAACCTTTGTTATCACAATAATATATGTACTAACATCGATAACATCCATACTAGTTGTACACTATGTATATTAAAGACAATATAGTGAATAATTTGTCTTGTATCAATTTTTTAAAAAAATTGGTAGATGTATGTGTTACTTCAGTTTATAGGTCAAACAAGGCCCTTAAACGTTTGTTAAAGCATCTACTACAGTAGCTTTGATATTGTTATCAATGTGCCTCAACGAGGAAAGTAAATATAGATTATCGGGTTTTATACACATTGATGTATCGTAAAATATCAAGCGTGAGCCACAATGTGAACCTTTTTGGCGAGTCAGTGCAGCGAATTAGCAAATAAGCTTCACATTGTGTCTAGCGGCTGACAATATTTGTACACAGAAAACCTATAATGTAAGATTATTGGTTTATTACTGGTCTTTTCTCCCTCCCTCAGAAAGTTTTATGCTTGACAAAAGAAAGCTTTATAACGTCTCCTCAGACATTATGACGTCAAATTATAAATTTCCCCCACCTTAGCAGCAATATACCATCCTCACCTGCATATCGGTTATACATTCCCTAACTCATTCAGTATTCAAGAGCTTGCAGCTGCAACTCAGACTTTATAAAACGTGTCTGAGCAGAAAATTGATGAGCCAAGGTAATGTCGAAGAACGTCTTTCTTTTTTCTTAAAAAGTTCATTGGAAAAGAGAGGCGAAAGATACCAAAGGGACATTCAAACTCGAAAATAAACTCACAACGCCATGGCAAAAAAAGAAAAAGACAAAGACAAACAGACAAACAACAGTGCACAAAACACAACATAGAAAACTAAAGACTAATCAACACGAACCCAACCAAAAACGGGGTTGATCTCAGGTGCTCCGGAAGGGTAAGCAGATCCTGTTCCACATGTGGCATTCGTCGTGTTGTTCATGTTAGTACAAACCTGGTAATAAGTCTAATTCAGTAGGTCACATTCGGGGAACAGGGGATGGGATTGTAGTTACGACATTTAGAACATATCTGCTATCATCTGTGAAACGGATATGCCATAACGGTCAGCCAACTCTTGATGGCGTTCGTAATTAAAGGCAACAGTAGTATACCGCTGTTCGAAACTCAAATCGATAGAGATAAAAACAAATCCGGGTTACAAACTAAAACTGAGGGAAACGCATCAAATATAAGAAGAGAACAACGACACAACAAAAACACAACATTAAAAATGTAACACACACAGAAACGAACTATAATATAACAATGGCCATTTTCCTGACTTGGTACAGGACATTTTAAGAACAAATGGTGGGTTGAACCTGGTTTTGTGGCATGCCAAACCTCCCGCTTTAATGGCAACGTCAAACACAACACAAAAACGACAACATCACATGACAGGACCACAATACAAATAAATGGGAGAACATATAGGACAAAGAAACACATGAATAATAGCTAACAAAAGGTACTAGGCTTAAAATTCAATACGCCAGACGTGCGTCTCGTCCACACAAGACCATCCAGTGACGCTCAGATGAAAAAAGTATGAAAGCCAAAACAAGTACAAAGCCGTAAAATTTACGAAGGGGTGTTTTCAACTTCACCATTTGGAACTCTGGTTTAATTGCTTCCTTGTGAGCAGCAACCCTCCATCAAGGAAATCATGATAGGAAATACAAGACCTGGAATATCGTTTCAACTGGGAGATATACTCCGCATGCAGGCGATTCTGGAATGTTGCTACATCGAATTGGAAAGTTCACAATTGGGAAGCTGAAATCATCTCTTTGTCGTAAAGTTTTGTTTTCAACCGACCCTCATTGTCATTTTCTTGATGTAAGTCAAGATATGAGGCAGACATAATTGTATCTGTTGTATCCTTTGTCTCATGTTCGATGGATAGATGCATTGAACATAGTCACCAAATTTTGAATTATTAAGCGAGAGAACATCATCTATATCGCGGAAAGTAAAGTTAAAGGATACTGCTTACTACTTTTCTTTCTTCCTAAGAAGTTCCTGTATGAAGTCAGCCTCATATGAATAAAGGAACAAGTCGGCAAGAAGAAAGGCACAGTTGGTTCCAATGGTGATGCCGATTGTTTGTTGAAAAACACGTCTTCCAAATGTAAAAAATATATTGTCAATCAGGAAATCAAGCATCTTGATAATGTCCGTTTCAGAGAATTTTTTGTTTGAATTAGAGTGATTTTTTACAAAGTAGGATCTATCCCTCCCTTAAACAAGATACCTGTATCTACGTTGGCCATTCTTTTAGATGAAACAAAGCAGGAAGAACTCTTTCAATTTGTCTTTTAGTTTGGAATGGGGAATACTTGTGTAAAGTGTAGAAAAGTCAAATGTTTTAATACTATTGCAAGATGAAAGAGTCTTAGATTGTATGTACTCTAAAAGATCTTTGGAATTTTTTAGTATCCACATCTGATTCACGCCACCTCTAGAATAGGTAGTTTCACAATGACTTTGAAGCCCGGTTTTGATTGCTGATAAAATTGATGTTAATAATTTAGAAAGAGGGTTCGTGGGGCGCTTGGAAGACCCAGCAATATAACGTTGTTTCTATGGACACTTATGTAGTTTAGGTATCCAATACAATCATGGAGGATCCAGTTCTTCATCATTGGTTGAAATTCCAAAGGAACATAGAACAGACATATGATTATCCAGGATTTCCTCTTTTGTAAGTGTCGTGGGTGTATATGTTGAGTTTCCAAGTGAATTGTAAATTCATTTATCAAGCAGTTTATGTAATGTGATTTACACACAAAAACGATGCTTTTGGGAGCTTTATCTGCGGGGACAACAACAAATTTGTCATGGAGGTAGGACAAGTGTTTTTCAACATTTGGGTCTTTAAAGATTGGTTAAGATACCAAGACCTTGTTGATAAATATTCCGTATCAACTTCACAAATAATACGTGATTGTCTTGAAGTATAAGATTCTAAGTACTGACGTTGTTCATCTTTTATCTACGTGGTATAGTGTTCTTTTTTTGTACTTGTAAATTTTTAACCTTCACTGTTTAGTCCATTTTTGGTAATATCCTTTTGGCATGGCTCGTTACGTATACATCCTGCCATTGGGTTATTGTGCTATGGTTAATTTTGTATTCTTGTCTTTCTTTTTTGCTTATGTACTTTGTCCGTTGAGTGTCTACCCTTACAGAATGATTTTGTTTGCAGCAGGTCTGCTGCAAAGTTGCGGCAGACCTTTTTGCAAACAAAAATGTTCGCAGGAACAAAATTTCAATGTTTGCAGGAGTTCGCAGCTAGCTGCGACCTTCTTACGAACATTGCAGTTTTTTGCAGCAAGCTTGTCGCAAACTCGCAGAAAACTGAATATTTGCAGAAACATTGCAGGAAACTTTACATATAACAGCTTTGTTCGCAGAAAGATTGCAACAAGCTTAAACAATATTTCTATGTTTGCAAGAAGTATGCAAGAATGTTTGACAAAAAATCTCTATTCGCGGAAAGATTGCGGAAAGCTTAAGCAATATTTTTATGTTTGCAAGATATTTTCTAAAGAGTTTATCATAAACTCTCTGTTCTCAGAAATATTGCAGAAGACCACAAAAAAAATCATGAATTCCCTGCTTTCTAAAAGACTCAGATGTATTAATTTTGTTCGGACATTAAAAACTTATTTACCCTGAGGCCTTTCCTTGGAACAGTAACAACTAATTTCCACGAGACATGTTTTGCTTGTACATCTATGTATTTATTACAAACAACGGTATATTGCTGGGTCTTCCAAGTGCTCCACGAAACCTCTTTCTAAATTATTAACATCTATTTTATCAGCAATCAAAGCCGGGCTCCAAAGTTATTGTGAAACTGCCTATTCTAGAGGTGGCGTGAATCAGATGTGGATCCTAAAAAAATCCAAAGATCTTTTAGAGTACATACAATCTAAGACTCTCTCATCTTGCAATAGTATTAAAACATTTGACTTTTCTACACTTTACACAAGTATTCCCCATTCCAAACTAAAAGACAAATTGAAAGAGTTGGTATTACTTTGTTTCATTAAAAAGAATGGCGAACGTAGATACAAGTATCTTGTCTTGGGGAGGGATACATCCTACTTTGTAAAGAATCATTTTGATTCAAACAAAAAATTCTCTGAAACTGACATTATCAAGATGCTTGATTCCTTGATTGACAAAATATTTGTTACGTTTGGGGGACGTATTCTTCAACAGACTGTCGGAATTCCAATGGGAACCAATTGTGCCCCTCTTCTTGCCGACTTGTTTCTTTGTTATTATGAGGCTGATTTCATACAGAAACACTTAGGAAGAAAGATAAGAAGTTAGCAATATCCCTTAACTCTACGTTCCGCTATATAGATGATGTTCTCTCACTAAATAATACAAAATTTGGTGACTATGTTGAACGAATCTATCCCATCGAACTAGAGATAAAGGATACTACAGATACAATTAAGTCTGCCTCATATCTTGACTTACATCTAGAAATTGACAATGAGGGTCGGTTGAAAACAAAACTTTACGACAAAAGAGATGATTTCAGCTTCCCAATTGTGAACTTTCCATTTCTATGTAGCAACATTCCAGCAGCGCCTGCATACGGAGTATATATCTCCCAATTGATACGATATTCCCAGGCTTGTGTTTCCTATCATGATTTCCATGATAGAGGATTGCTGCTCACAAGGAAGCTATTAAACCAAGAGTTCCAAATGGTGAAGTTGAAGTCATCCCTTTGTAAATTTTACGGACGCCATCACGAGTGTGTTGACCGTTATGGAATAACCGTTTCACAGATGATATCGGATATGTTCCTTATGTCGTAACTACAATACCCTTCCTTTTCACGAATGTTACTTACCGAATTAGACTAGTTACCGGATTTGTAATAACATAAGCAACACGATGGGTGCCACATGTGGAACAGGATCTGCTTACCCTTCCGGAGCACCTGATATCAGCCCCAGTTTTTGGTGGGGTTCGTGTTGCTTAGTCTTTGGTTTTCTATGTTGTGTCATCTGTACTATTATTTGTCTGTTTGTCTTTTTATTTTTGGTCATGGCGTTGTCAGTTTGTTTTCGATCTATGAGTT